CCCGCGCGCACGCACAGCACCGAGCCGGCGCCCCGCGCCCCGCGCCCCGCGGAGTCGGGGTAAACAAAGGCCGGACGCTGCCTGCGCGCCCCACTCGCGCGGAGGCCAGTCGGCCCTGACGCACCTTCGATGTCGGTCAGCAGCGCGGCGTCCAGATCGCACGGCGGAGCCAGCGCCTGCTCCAAGGCCGCCTCGTTGAAGGGCGGCCCGTCCATGGCGCAGTCGCCTCCTCCGGGCGGCCCTCCAGGCCCGCTGCCAGGCAGGGACTTGCGCGTGCAGTGCCGCGTCCGCAGGCCCCGGCCCGCCGACGCCGCAGCCGCCGCTGCCACGCACTTCACGTCTTGTCTTAGCCGCGGTGGCCGCTCGGCGCCCGCGAAAAGTTCCGCGGAAACTGGGTTCCCCGGCAGCGGCTCCGCGGAGCTGGCGGGGGTGGGGGCGGGGCGGGGCCCTGCACGGAGGCCCCGCCCCCGGGGAGACCGGTCCGCCCCACCTCGAGCGAGCGGACAGTCTGCCCGAAAGCCTACCCTGCAGCCCCTCTGTCAGAGTGGCCCCAGTCATTCATTTCTTCCCGCCTCAGGCGCAGCAGCCTCTGGCCCGCTGCTGAGGGAGCTCGGGGACCACTGGCCCCTTTCTGGCCTCAGTTTCTCCAACCCCAAGCCAGAGGGCTGAGTGCAAGCCCCAAGACTGGGCCCATCCCCAGAGGCCTCTGGACTTGGGGCAGGACGTGTCCGGCAAAGCTCACTTTCTAGACTTGGCTCTTTAGAAAAAGACAGACCCGGGCCAAGCTCTGAGACAATGCACTGTGGCCTCGGGTCAGCTCCATGGCCCCTCGGCCAAATGTTCCTCAGCGCCAACAGGGGCCCATGATGCCGCCCCACCGGCTGCCAGGGACCAGGTGTGAAGACACCGAATGAGTGGACCTGTGAGATTGACCTTTCCCTCCTCGATCACCAGATCAGCTTGCTTCCTGAGGATGGGGTGGCCCAAAGGCGGGAGGGTGGGATCATCAACCTATCTTGGTCTGCTTTCCTCTTAGATGTGGCGGAGGGGCTGAGGAGCCCACGGGCGCTCAGTGTCTGCAGGAAGCATAGGAAGACACGCAGAGTTCCAAAGAGCCAGTCCGCCCAAGGCCACCCAGCTACTCAGAGAGGACAGCAGTGCTGGGCTGTCACTCAGGGCTCTCACCCTTCACAGGAGGTGCTTTCCCAAGGGGTAGCTAGCTCGGGCTGAGCTGGCAGGACATGGCGGTGGACATGAGGAAGAGACCGACTGTGCCATAGGCCTGAGCCAGGTTGCCCTGGATCGTGACAGGCTGGGGCTGGGTCACGTGACGCGGTTTGGCTGGGGAGAGGGCTGTAGACGGTGGCTTGGAAGGCAGAGCCAGGTGGTAAAAGAAGGGGTCCCAATAAGACAGGTAGAAAGAAACCAGAGCTAAATCCAAATATCTAACAACCAGTGGGGAGGTGGTGTGCTCCCTGGCCCTGGAAGTACACAAACAGAATGGCACCGATGGTGGGGGGCAACCGAGAGTTACCAGAGTCTGGAGCCCCAGGTCCGCCGAGTCCCTGGCCTCTATCAGGCCATTCTGAAGACTGCTTTGCGCAGACTCTGGACTGGCCGCACCTTCTGAGCCACTGGGGTTAGTGGCACGTTTTAGGAGGAATGGGGTGCGCTGGGTCAAGAGGCTGAGGAGGCCCGTCTTGGGCTTCAGCCTGGACATGCAGCCCTCTTTGTTCCCTTCCGAGAAGTGGCTGTTGTGGAAAATTACCCAGAATGGGGGTGGCCAGGAGCTGTGGGGTCTCAACCCCAGCTGTATCCCTCCCCAAGTGGCCCTGCTCAGCCCCAGTTCCTGGCCCCTCCAGAAGAACTTCTGCTGGGGGAAACAGCGGGATCTGGCTTCTCCCCACCTTGCCCCCCTCCCCACCTGTCCAACCCCACTTGGCCCTACCACTCAGGTTAGGAGCCAAGCACCCAGGAAGCCTTGGGCGTCTGGTCATTTCTCTGAAAAAAAAATTTTTTTTTAATAGTAAATATACTGAGTCTTTTCATCTGTGAACACTTTCTCAATATATAGATACACACATCTATAACACACATATACGTATACTCTGATTTAATACATGCATACATATATGATTTCTATATTTTTTCATTTTAGAACAATGTTTATTTCCCCCTCCCCCACTTCCTTGAAAATTCTAACAGCCTTTTCCAGGGAGAGGAGGAGGTGCTGAGTGATGTCTAAACACCTCTCTTCAGCCAGGAAACTGCTCTTGTTTTTCACCTGCTTCCTGAGGCCTGCAGCCACTTTCGCCTTTGAGGAGTTTCGGCTGTGGGACCTGTAAAATGAGGATAGCTCTCTGCAGAGGCAGGGAGGTGTGCTGGAGCCGTGGGCACAGCAGACCTCCCGGTCCTGGGAGCCTGACTGCACGTGGAGAGTGCCCTGCTCCTGCCAGTTCAGACCCGTCTCCCATGAACCAAGGGGCTGGGGGTGGGGTGCGGGTGGAAGTGGGGGACCTTAAATCTTTCCACTGGAAGCGGCATCACCTTGCTCCAAGGTCGGAGATTACCAGGCAAACCTCAAGGTGAGGGTGGGAAAAGCCGGTTGGGGCTCTCCCCCTCAAAGACCGGCAGACACCTACCTTCCCCTCACCCCACAGTCCCTCACCCCACAGCGGAAGGCTCTCTGGGCCAGGGAGATCTGAGTTCAGACAAGGAACTTGTGCCAGAGACACAGGGACCATGGGGTCCCTGCCCCGGTGCGCCTAGGAGGCGCGGGGATCCTCGCCTGGCGGAGCGATGCTGGCGGGCTGTGTGGGGACTGGCTGCAGCCCTGGAGGTTTATCTACTATTAATCCATGTATTACTTCCAGCAGGCCGGGAGGTCTGGGCTATCACTCCCATTTTACAGGTACCAGGGCCCAGGAAACCGAGGGACCAGGGAGGGAAGCGTCTTGCCCAGGACCTCACAGTGCCTTTGCCTCTGATTTGGTCAGCGTCGGCCAGTCTGAGGAGTGGGGCTAGATTTGCGTCCGGCTGGGCAGGGCGGCTGGGCAGGGCAGCTGGGCAGGGCAGCGGCTGAGGACCCGGGGGAGTTGGGGCTCAAAGCCAGACAAGCCCCGCCCCCGCGGTCGCGGGACAGCCAATGGGCGCCGGGCCTGGAGTGGGGTGACGCGGCGTCAGCGTGAAACTCCCGGGAGTCGGGCCCTGGGTCACATGGCGCCGCACCCGTTGGACCGTGGGGAGGGGCTGCAGGGGCAGGACGGCGGGGAGCGGCGGTGCGCCGGCCGGCAGGGTCCAGGCCCCTGGGGGCCATTTGGCCTGCTCTTTCCCAGGGCCTCCAGGCTAGGCACCTGGCTGGGACTGCCGCCAGGTGTGCGTCCGGGCACCTGGGCGGAGCAGACACAGGGTGGCCCTGCCCTCTTCCCGGGCCGGTTGTTGGCTCTAGGGACTGTGGGAAGCTCCTAGCATCTAGTCAGGGATGTGCGCAGGTCGCCCAGCCCGGCTCACGCCCGACCTTGGCTTTTCCAAACCCCCTGCTCCTTTCTTTCCTGGACTTCAGAGCCTGAGAGGCACCTTCAATGTGTTCTGGGCCGTTTGGGGCAGGTGTCCAGCATGGCCAGTCCTCTGCCCATGCCACTCCTCAGGCTGAGCCACGCTCTCAGCGCCTGAGCTTAGGGGCTGGCACAGATTTGCCAGGGTTGCCTGCCCTGCACTGGGCAAGAAAGCTTGTTTTGATCACACTAGGCAGGCCTAGGAGGCTACTTAGGACTCCACCCCCACCCTCTTCTTTTATTTCTACAGTAGCTTAACGGGGTGGGGGGGGCCTTCTGCGTTATATATTAGGGAACCTGGGAGCACAGAGTCAGCCAGAATCCTAGACCTCCCACCCCCTTTTCTCCACCTGGGCCTAATGGAACCAATGCCCACTGACATGGATGGCTCTGGTGCTAGACGACCCTATGTTCTCATTCCAGTCTGGCCTCTGCTGTGTGCTGGGCAGGGCAAGTTTCTAGCCTCTCGGGTCAGCTTTGCCAGGAAGGCTCAGTCACTGTGGCCACCTCCACCTCATCATGAATCACTCGCTAGAACTTCCATAAAAGAGCTGGTTGAACCCCAAAGATTTACACTGAGAGATGAGGCTCATGAGAATGAGAGGGGGAATCTGTCCCCTGAGGGGTAACTGGTTGTTTGGGGAGAGGCCGGGAATAGTTAAGGGGAAATCGCAGAATGGTGTAGGTCCAGCTAGTGTCAGGGAGAGTGGTGACTCCAGGCGTCATCTGACCCCCCCCCCCACCAACTGCAACTATAATACAACTGATTTTATTTTCAAATGTAGATGATTTCACGTGAAGGCTGGATTTCTGGCTTTTCTTGGAAAAATGGGACCATTGAGCGAGACTGGGTGCCCTTTTAGCAGGGCTGTGAGCTTCCCCACGGTACCCATCAGTCTCTGGGTATCACACCCAGCCTACTGCATCACTGAGAAGTAATGCAAAGTTTCCCACCCACATTCTCATTCTACAGATCAGGAGAGTAAAGACCCAAGGTGGGCAGCGACTTCTCAAGGACCTACACGGAAGCCTGGACCCTGGAAAGGATGGTCTTGGGGTGGGCATAGGGGTAGGAGAAGACAGCACCAGATGGAGGAGTCCAATCAGGTTTCCAGAATGTCCCACCAACTCCCTACTGTTGAAAGCAGAGATTTTGCTTTCTGGGATGTGAGAGTCCAAGCTTGGAAGCTCCAGTCAGACCCTTCTCAGGGGCCCTCATCAGGAACTGGTTGCGGATTTTTCTAAATAATGGGATTTCTGGGTGACATGCCTTTACAAGGCCTCTGGTGCTACCACCTCATCCCCCTCAGAATCCAAAGGAGACCTTTTTCTTGGAAATACTCCACCTTGGATGCATCATGGGGACCAGCCTGTAGAACCCATGGTAATCCCACACTGACCCCTCCCAGATCTCAGGGGGAAGGAAGCTATAACTGGAAAACAGCTCCTTGCAATGAAGGGAGGCAGCTGAGGGCTGAAAAGTTCGGAAGTTTGCCTCTTTGCAAGGCTGACCTTCAGCTGGGTCACTGCCCTCTTCAGCTCTCTCCATTCACACTTCATATATTGTTTGAAGACTTTGTCTTCCCTCTATTGACTGTCGGATTCTTCAGGGCAGCCAGGTCTGGAACTTCTGCTGGAGCTATTGGAAAAAGACACCCTAGTAGGAAGTCAGCTTACAGCTTCAGGCAGCCTTCAATCATGTCTAGAAAAGCTAATCCAGGGTAAACTGAGCCAAGACATAGGCAGATTCTGGGCCAAATCCCCAAGCAGCTAGATCCAGCTATGCCTGAAGCTGACTACCTGAATTTCCAGTTACATAAGCCAGTAAAATCCCTCTTTCTGATTAAATCAAATACTTTTCTACCACAACCAAAAACGTTTCAACATACAATCTCTACATGAGGAGTTTAGTTCAGAACTGTCCTCATGTAGGATCAAGATCCTGATGCTGCTTCACTTGATTCTAGATTTCCCAAACTTTTCTCCACAGACCCCTCCCTTCTTTATAGGAATAGCTAATGTATTGGGGAACTGTGTCTTGGCACGTGTCCACTGGAGATTTTGAGATACCTCCCAGGAGGCTGGTCAGTTGTTTTCCCTCTTTCCCTCTGCCCCCCCTCCTCCCCGCGGCCCCCCCCCCCCGGCTAAGCTGGCCTGTCCATGGCAACTGCACTGTATACAGCTAGAGTGGTGTGCGTGAGGCTGCCTTTCCAGGGCATCCTGGTGAAAATGTGGAGGTGTCTCAGCGCTGACTCTCCACAGGGTCTGGCCACAGTGCAGCGCCCAGGGCACCTCACACAGGGCTGGGGCCCAGCATGGGCTTAGGACCATGATGCCTATGCTCAGAAACGAGACTGTGGATCCCTCACACTTGAGGCCCACTCTCATGCTCCCCTGTGGCCTTACCTCACTCCAACTGGCCAGAGAAAGGATCTCCAGTTTCCTAGAGCCCAGGGAGGCAATTCACTGGGAGCTGGGTGCTGCTGCTTCTGAGCGACTGTGGCTGCTCCAGTGTGGCCCTGGGTCATGCCCCACCTGTTTCCTGTCAGTGGGCAGGACAGCCCCTCCTGAGCTATCCTCCGCAGAAGGGTTGGTGCTCAGGGTGCTGGGCAGCCACACCTGCTGGCCATGTGGTGATGCCCCTTCTGCCCACACATTCATGACCCTGACCTGGGAGGCCCAAGGTGGGGTTTGAGTGACAGTGCTGCTGGTGCTCCCTGGCCACTTTAGGCCAGTGGATGCTCTACCCACATGAGAGGTTGAGCAGGTGAGTCTGCATTGATCGCAGGTTCACCTGGGGGCTCGATGAGGCTGCCGCACCTGTGCTCCATGCCTGGTCTGGGGCGGAAGGGACTAAGCCAGTGTGAGAAGGTGCAGACGCCACAGCCCCCCCACAACGGTGCCTCGGATCTGCTGAGGCGCCAGCCTTGCAGCCAGTGCCCGGTAGAGAACTTTCCCATGGGAGAAAGGGCTGGCTGTGGGTGGGGGTGACTGCCAGAGTAGGGCTTTCTTTCTGGGTTGACGAAAATACTCTAAAATTGACTGTGATGGTGTGTGCACAACTAACTGGCAATATACTGAAATTCCGTAACTGTATACTTAAATGGGTGAAACTGCGCTATGTGGATTATATCTCAATAAAATGGTTATTTAAAGAGGCTGGTGGTGGTGGGATGGGATGCTTCAAACAGCAGTTCGCAAACCCAGTACCTAGCGTGAACTCTGCAGATCTGATGCCCAGCCAAATCCAGGGGGCCCAGCTGAGGGGGTGCAGAAGAGGTGGCTTGGGCTTACTTGCGTAGGGTCTGGGTGATTCCCGGTGAGTTGAGTGCCTCCCCCTCGGCCTGGGACCCAGGATGAGGGAGGAGGACACAGCCGCTGTCCCTGGAGCACTCAGGCAGGCCATGGCTGGTCTGCAGCTGCTGTAGCCACCGTCCCCAAATAACCAGGGTGGCCAAATAGGGCCAGGTGCCAGGATTTTCCAGCCACTCCCCTGGCCAGGCAAGGGTCTGCTCCGGCAGCCTGGGGTGGAGGTGGAGGGGGCGCTGGGTTTCCCAGGCTGTCCACTAGCAGTCCCTGCCTGAAGCAAGCAGGCGTCAGATCGGGCAGGCACAGGCAGTGAACAAAGATCACACAGGAACGATTTGCTTGTTTGTTTATTTATCATGGAGTATTTTACATGCAAGAACCCAAACTAGAGAGACGGCATCTGGAAGGAGAGCCAGTGGCTGGACAGACATGGAGTCTTGAGTGCACTGGCCTGTCCTCCAGAGCTGACCGCTCTGCCTCAGAAACGCACGACAGTGACAGAACACCAGACTTTTGGGGACGACTGGACAACAAAATCAACACATTCCTTTTCTCAATAGCCCCCAACAATCCTGAGAAACCTTACAAATTAAGTGCAAACTTTAGGAAATAAATATTCATCCCCTTCCCCAGGGGAGCCTGGAGGGTTTATCCAGAGAAAAGCAGTGTGACTCCAGGGTTGACAGCTGCTCCCGGGGGGGCTGGTGATGGCAGGAGAAGCCCGGCTTGGACCCCCATGGACAGGAAGGGCTGGAGATGGGCACTGGGAGAGGCAGGTACTTCAGCGGGTATCTTGGGGGCACACACACTTGCCACGGGTGGCCCAGACACCCCAACAGCTGATGGGTTGCTCACGATGGGCTGGCTGAAAGAACAGCACTGCTCCACCTCCGTTTCCTCCTGCCAGGCCACAGGCCCCATCAAATCATCCAGAAGCCGGGCAGGACTGAGCTGGAGTGTGTGCAGGCGAAGTGGAGGGTGTGGCTGCGGGAAGGAGGAGAGAGGCAGGAAGCCCGTGGCCATCATGGTGCTAGAGGAGGAGTCGGGCCTGCTGCTCTGGGCCATCCACAGCCCTTGCCGCCTCTCTTCCAGCTGGAGCCTTGAGTCACCGCCTGGGCCTGGGGCCACCCAGGCCTGAGGCGCCCTTGCTCTGGACCTCTGGGTGGGGAAGGGCAGTGAGCCAAGGTCTGGAGCAGGGCAGGCAGCACTGTCACTCACACTGAGGGGACTGACACACAGACGGGAGGAGAGACGACAGAGTGGAAGTCGCCTTCCCTTCTGGCCCCGGGGCGGCAACAAGCCCTTTCAGAGACCCCTGTCCCAGTCATGCTGACCCGTGAAGGAGTCCTCAGCCTGGTCGCTGCTCGGTGCCTGGGGAGTGCCCAGGAAGGGACAGCTCTGGGAGGTTGGCCGAAGGCCCACCAGAGCCCCAGGTCAAGCCGCACACAGAACCATTCACGCAGCCCACAGGCCAAAATGGCAGGCAAGAGGAGACGGTTAGTCTCCATGTCTCAGCACACAGTGAACACAGGAAAGGTTAAACACATCCCCAAGAAAATATTTTGACAAAATAAATATTTTAACCTATAATCAGGTATAATTAGTGCTTATAAGGAATCCCAGCAATAATTTAGTGTAATTAAGTACATACTGTATCTGTGATTTCTAACACTTGTGGAGAGACTGGTGGCTCAGAAGGGTCTCACTTCTAGGGGCGGGGTAGAGGCTCTGGCTGGCTTTCCCTAATCAGCAGCCTGAGGGCTGCGCTCCCCAGATAGCAGGGGCGGCCCAGGTGAGTCCTCCGGGCCTCAGGACTGAGCAGGGCAGAACCGCTCAAGGGCCCCGTTCTTCCTTCCCGTGCAGGTCTCAGCTGCCACCTCAGCCTGCTCAGGTGGGAGTGGGCTGCCTCTGGACACCACGCACTAGCAGAAGTGCTGGCAAGCCACCGGAGGGGCGGCTGCAGGCCGGGGAGGCAGCTGACACCTCTGAGGTTTTCTGCCAGTCCACAGGAAACTACCATTCTCTGCTGGACTAGGGGCAGCCAGCTTTGGAAGCCACCCCTGGCTGATCAGCTGGGGTTAGGGTTTGGGGGCCAGCTCTGGACCACAGTGTTTACAACAGCTTGGCTGGGGTCTCCCCAGGTAGGCGAATGTCTGAGCTTTACTCACCACCAGGAGCCTCCTCTCCCCTCAGACCCTCCAGGTTTCTGGCCTTGTGGTGACTTCCCCTTCCGGAAGGCAGGAGGCTGCTCTTCCCTGAGTGCGCTGGCTGCTGTGGCACCACAGCTCCTGCACCCAAAGCTTGCTGCCCACGACTGCAAGCCTGGCAGGTTGGCAGAGGCAGGTCCCTGCTCCTAGAATGCTTCCAAACTGCATCAAAGGGCTGGGGATACCAGCTGGAGTCTCTGGGTACAACCGAGTTTCTCTGCGGCTGGCATTAAGACAGCTGACTCCAGAAGTCACAATGCCCAAGCTGGCCTCAGGGGATTCCGCCCTTGGGACTGAGACACACTGAGGAGAGGGGCTTGAGCTGGCCAAGGGCTGGGGGGAGGGGTGGAGGGAGCATAGGCATGGTACTTGCAGCCAGAGGACAGGGCCGGCATCAGCCTGGCGAAGATCCAGTGGGGGAGGGCCCTTGCTATCCTCTGAGGACGTGGAGTGTAGTGTCCCCAGCTGCTCCTGGTCCCAGCCAGAGTCCAGGCCCTTCCTCGGAGGAAGCTGTGGTAGTGTGAGATGGGCACGGGGCTCCGGGGGAACAGCAGCTCGCTCTGCATTGGGGTAGTTTCTCTTACTGCCTAGCACAGCCCTCGGCTCCAGTCCCGGTCCTAACGCTCCTCCCAGGGCCCATGGCACTGCTCTCAGCCGAGTCAGGCCCAGTGTCTTTTCCCTGCCTGGGCCAGTGCCATGGCTTCCAGGCCACCAGCCGGGTGGAAGAACTGACCACATCGTGGGTTGGGAAACCAGGTGTCGGGTTTGGCCCCCGAGGCCTGGGCAGTGCACGCTGGAACCGGGACGTGGGCCCGGAGGCTCATGGGCTGGGATGAGCAGTTGCAGGTGCAGCACAGTGGAGGGGCAGTTGGGACTCAGGCCGGGGCCCAGCACAAGCGCAGTGCCACGGCCAGGAGACACGCAGTGAGGAACCAGGACAGCAGGCGTCGCCAGCCCGCGCGGCTCAGCTCCAGACTGTCGGCCTCGGCCGGCTGGGAGCGGGTGCATCGGAGGCCAGGGGGCATCTGAGGGGAGGGGTGAGGTTGTCAGGAAAGTCTACGGAGAGGCTGAGCCCCATGCCCAGGAACAGCCCAGGGACCTCAGTGTTGCTCTAGCTGTGTGGCTCTCCAAGCACGGCCCGCTGCTGGGCCTGGGACGGAGGCACAGAGCCGCTGCAGGCCAGGCCGGAGCTCAGCATGCTCACAGAGCGCCCCCAGCAAGCCAGTCACTCCTCCCGGTGCAGGCCCCTCCACAGAAGGCCCAGTGCAGTGTGCGCAGGGTGGCTGGGTCTGCGGTGGTCTCTCTCCACGGGAGCCGGCAGCCTGCCCACCAGCGTGCCGCCTTCCCCCTCTTGGCTTTCTCTCCCCAGCCCAGAAACTGCAGGTCCACGGGGCCCCTCGCTTCCAAGCCAGCTGCTGTGCCTGCTCAGGCATGGAGCTAGCAGCTGAGTGATGGAGAGAGCGCCAGGATGAGGGACGCCACACATGGGTACCCCACAGAACCTTCTAAAGTGCTGGGCATGCCAAGTGCCACAAAGTGACACGCATCAGGGAGCCACAGTCCAGGGAGGGAGACCAACCCATAGGCGCAGACAAAGCCTTTCTGCGAGGCCAAGCCAGTCCAGGGAGAGTCACTGAGCCAGGCAGGGGAAGGGGCCTGACTCCCTTCTCTGTGGGCAGGTGACTGGAGGAAAGACTATCCAGGTGTCTGCTCAGAAGACAGTCCCGAGGGGACCGCCCTGCCTGGGGCTGGGCCCCACTGCCCACTCTTCCGGGAGGAAACATGGGCAGAGGGAGCTCGTAGGCGGGAGCAGGAGGAGGGAAGGAGAGAGGGAGGGCCCCTGGCTGCCGCAGCTGTCCCACTGCCGAGAGAAGGTGGCTAAAGCTGGTCCTGACTAGTGGGAGGCCTGGGAGCAAACACAGTGGTATTTCCATGGAGACACAGCAGCGCAGGACCACGTGGGGCTGGGGGTGAGGGGAGTGGCCAGTGCCTAGAGTGAACCGGGCAGCGAGAGGTGACCTGCCATCCCGGGGGCCAAACCACAGAGCAGCTCACAGGGCGAAGAGGGCATCCTCAGACCGCTCTGACTTCTTCCGGCCTGAAGGGTTGGAGGCCGGGCCCGGGGCCGGGGCCGGGGCCGGGGCTTCCACTGGGGGTGAGGGGAGGTTGGGAACCATTTCAGCAGCTTTGGCTCTTTCTTCAAGGAATTTATCAAACTCTGCAACACAAAAACCAAGGCAAGGGCCAGCATTGGTAGGGGGCTAGGTCCTCCCTGAGGTTCATGCCTCAGTAACCACACTCCGCCTACTCCCCGTACCTCCACTTCACCTGTACCCACGGGGTTGCCCCAGTGTGAGTCCCCACCCTTGCCACACTGCCCTGGGCCACCTGCCAGGGAGGGAGGCTTTGGCTCTCCCTCAGCTTCATGCTAATGAAGCAAATGTTGGCAGATCACAATCTAGGCACTACTACTCCCTCCCACGGCAATGCAGCCCCCAAACCTGCAGCCCGCCAGAGCCAGGGGTGATGCCTCTTTTTCCTCCTCTGCCACCTCTCGCCTGGGTGGGTAGAACAGGGCAGCCCCACCACCTAGGGAAGCCTGGCACCGACGGGAAGGGGTTCCTGTCAGGAAAGGCTTGGGAAAGCACTTAGGCAGGCACCGATTCCTGCCCTACTGCCCAGCAGCCCTGGAGCTATTCCACGCTCAGATCACTGCGGGGGTGGGGGGTGCCTGCGAGGGACAGCGGAAGAGTGAGTTCCTACTTAAACCTACCATGGACCATTCCTTGTCCTCCCTACCAGTGAGGAACCAGGCCCGGGCAGGGGTCTGCGCAGAAGGTCCAGCAGAGGAGGAGGAGGCAGTGGGAGGGGAGACAGGCAGGGGCTGTGGAGGTGAGACAGGAACAGGGGGGCTGCCACAGAAACTTCCCTACCCAATCCATTAACTGGCCACGGAGTGAGTGAGCTCATAGGATCTAGGCCTGGAGAGGTGCCCTGCACTCAGGTATGCATCTTGCTGCTGGATGGAGCAGCAGGGCATGAGGACAAACTGGCCAGGGGTGCCGGTTTGGGGCTGTGTTGTCGTCGGACAGCAGTCAGTAGGCAGAGCCCCTAGTTCTGTGATCTGACACTTGCTTTACTAGCATGAGGCCTGGGTGCAACAGCCAAAGCCCTGGCCCAGGCCCGGCACCAGGAGACGCTCTGGCTGTAGGTGCTCCAAGGTGGGGCGCCAGCTCTGGGCACGTCCAGGGAGGGGGCTTAAAGCTCCAGCCGGACCATACCTTCACTCGTGACGCCCTCTTCCAGGTCATCGCCCTTCTGTGGGAGGAGCAGAGAGAGGGCGTTAGGGCCACCCGCCATGCTGCCTCTCCCTGCCAGCTGCCAGCCCAGGGCTGCATATCACAGCCTGCACAGAGCTTCCCCTTCCCAGAGATCAGGAATAGCCATGTGCCGATCATTTGCTTTGTTTTTAAAAGCAAAACATAAAAAACAAAAACAAAGTAGTTTTGATCGCCTAGAAGGGCTGGAAAGGAAAATTTAAAAAACGGTGCGAGCTGGTTCTCTGAGCTGAGCTGCAGGGCTGGACCTCAGCAGGCCTCTCCCCATCTGGGACACGCTTCCGGAGGAGAACAAGCCCAGGGCCCTCAATCCTGCGCCTTTGTGTCCCTCCTCGCCAGCCACGGGGTGTGGGGAGGCACTGTCCCTACCTACTGGGGGGTGCCTGAGGCCTGCAAGGGGCAGAGCTGAAGTCTGCACACAGCCTGATGCAGCAGGCTAGTGCTGTCCCCAGAGGCCACAGCCCACACTGTCCCAGGGCAGGCTGGCCTCCTCTGTGGCCAGATGCTATCAACTGTTCCAGCTCAGCCACAGGCTCTTAACAATGAGAGTGGATCACTCTGCATTTTTTTTGTAGAAGGAGGTAATCACTTGAGCTTGGAGGCTGCCTGGGGGCTGGGGACTCACCTTATAGAGAGGGTGCCTGGAAAGGGGGCTGAATGGGAAGTGAACAAGGTGCTGGGGCGGCAGGGAGACCTGGCTTCCTTCCTGGTTCCACCATGCCCTGCTATGTAGCCTTGTTGGGGAGGTCCCTCCCCCTTGGTGGACTACGGGGCCTTGGCTCCTATCATAGCAGTCAGTTCCTGTCTAGGCATTCTCTTGGGGAAGCTATGGGGCATTTTTGTCCTCTCCAAGCACCTGGGTGTCTTCTTTGATTAGGCAATGAGTGTCGGGAAAGCCTGGTCTTAAGGGAGGGACCCAGAGCAGTGAGCGGCCTGGTGAAGGTCTACTGTCCGTGTGTGGGAGGGAGCGCAGCCAAGGACCGCAGCCACCAGGCTGGCTCTGTGGTTAGGGACCCATTCTGCTCTGGGGCAGGGCCCCCAGAAAAGGAGGCAGCAGAGATGAGGTCTGAGGGAGACTCCCTACAGCCTGTAAGACCTCGGGCAAGCCACTCTTCTAGTTCCACAGCCAACCACCCCCACCCCACCTCCTGCAGGCTGCTGAGAGTGACAGGGCTTTGCAAGGGACAGAGGTTGGCGGGACCAGCCGCTGCAGCTCTCATTGCTCAGAACCTGCTGCCACGGGCAGATGCATGATAACTTGCCTTCCTGCCTTATCGCTGAGGATAAAGACAATGGTTTCAGGGGCAAGAGTGCTTTTAAATCAAAGATACCACAGATAGAAGGGATGACAGTGATTAAAAAAAAAAAAACCCAAAAAATACCAGACTTGTGTATATTTCACAATTAAAAAGGAAAAAAAAAAAAGAAAAATCAAAAAAATCCTGAACTGCAAGCCCCCTAAAAATAAAAAAAAACACCCCAAGTGTGTACACATACACACACACACACCTGGAACTGAAACGTAACAGGGTAAACTGTGTTTTAGAGCCAGCTAGAGCTGACTCACACCCCAGCTGGCCTCTCGCTGCAAGCTGGTGAGGGCTGAGCCTGGACAGGCCACCGTCTCTGCTGCCCTCCTGCACCCCACCGTGTTTTGTAGGGAAAGGCCAGCTGTGAGGAGTTGGGGGCTACAAGAACCATCCTGGCCCCCCACCTCCCTCCTCCAGCACCAGGGTGAGCAGCCCCTATGGGTGTCCCGAAGCCCATCCTCAGGAGAGCCTCTGCCTCACCCCACCCCACACACGAATATAAAAGTCAAGTCTCACCAGGTCCGTCCTGAGCCACACCTCAATGTCGTCCATGACAGAGGGCTGAGCAACGGGGATCTATGGAGGCGGCAAGCAGCGGGCCAGGCAACCCACACAGCCAGGCAAAGGAAGACAGAACACCGGAACAAAGTAAATTGTCAAAAACAACCCCCAAATGAAACCAAAATGTACACACAGCAAAAACAAAAAAACAAAAAAACAAAAAAAAAAAACAACTGGCACAGCAGGCACGGGCAACACGAGGCAGCCACACGTGAAATGGCGGGCGAGGAAAGCAATGAGGCCAATTCTAAGAAGCGAGGCTGACCAGCAGGGCCGGGAAGGGAGGCGGCAGTACGAGCTCTTGAAATGGAGAACTTTTTGACTATGCGTGTCAGCCCTCCCACATGGGATCTCCCAGGCTAGGGCAGCCAAATGCTCCCGAAGCCCAGGAACGCGCTTAGGCTCCAGATCAGCTGTAGAAGTTTATGACAGTGGGCGTGCGGCCCACCTGCCACTGAAATGCCCCCCTGTGGGCCCAGATGCTACCAGGGAGGCCGCCTGTCCAGACTAGGATGCAGGTGGCCAGGTGGGTATTGCAGTCAGCCCTGGGGGGCTGTTTGCTCATTGAAAGTATTTCAAAATGTGTCCTGGAGCATTTCTGAGTGGGAGGAGGCGGCACCCAGGCCTAGGTGTGGCCTGGCTGACAGAAGGCAGGCACATTTCACCACTAAGAGAAACATGAGCAAAAATCGAGGGCTTTGATGACAAAGGGACTGCAGGCCTTTAGTCTTCTTTGTGTGTCTTTAGGGGGAAAAAGCCCAAAGACGTGCTGAATGCAATAGCTTCCTTTAATCTCACCCTTTCTTCCCAGCTTTCAATGGCTGTCTGTGCTTCAGTAGTCAAAGAAAAGAAGTTCAACTGATTGTGGTGGCTGTGGCTGGGGTGGGGGGGGGGGGATGGGCTGAGGAGGGGGGTGACTGGACCCCACCCCTCAAGCAAAATGAACACACCTCAAGTATGCCTGGCCAGTGTCTCCAAGCCTGGGACATCTGCCCAGGGCCTTAGGGGATAGGGGCTCAGAAAGCTGAATTTAGCTAGGAATAAATATTTAAGCTGCTGTCAGAGATACATGCTAAGTAAAGGTAACCTTTAACCCCCTAGAAGCCACATTAATGAAATGTTGGCTCCCAGCCTAGAGAAATGAGTTCACTGACCTTAATCGAAGTGACCTGCCTCCTCACCTGGCCTAACTGGGGAAGGCTCACTGAAAAGCCCACTCTGTCTAGAAAAATCACCTGTGTCTATAGTTGGCTCCACCCCAATGTTACAATCCAAAGTAAGAATAAATTTAAAATAAGCAATACCTTTATAGTTGCCAAATCTAAAGAAGTATCAAGGGAGTTAACAAAGGAAAAGAACAAGGTCTTCTAATCACTAGCCCTGACCTAGCAGGACAACCCACATAGCAACTTCATGATGAGGTTTGGGTATGCACTGGAGCAAGGACTTCTTGGCCCAAGTGAGCACATGATGGCCGGTATCTGGATTCTACTGGCGCTTCACACACTCACTCGCTGAGTCCAGCAGCCCCTGCTCAGGCCACCTGTGCCCTGTGCCTAACTACAGGCCCAGCTTGGGTAGACCACACATATTTCATAAAGGTTCAAGTCAACCTGGATCACATTAGGAAAATTCTGTCAAGATAGCCACTTTATTATTTGACTGATTAGGGACTTATGAATATTAAAGTGAGAAAATACCAAGGAGTTCAAATCACCCTGAACTAACACCTAAGGACAAGCAAGCAGGTGATTCTTGCTCTGGAAGATACAGAGGCAGGTGGATGACGAACAGCAACTAAAGCCAGAACTTACCTTCCCTATCACAAAGAAAGCAGCTGGGCATGCTTGCTGGTGGCCACTCTAGCCATGACAGAGCCCCTGACAGGAGATGCCAGTTTTCATGATCTCTGTGCTCTGGGAAGCAAGCTCCAGGCCTCTGGGAAGAAGCCTGCCATACCATGTTTCCAGAACTAAAGCTTGGGGCATCAACTGCATCTCCAAAGAGAAAATTCACCCAGGCACAGGTGCTGGAGTGCATGCTGGGCTTTTTACCTACCCAGCTTTAGACTACCTCAGAGAAATGGAGATTAAATGGACAGAGCTTTTCAGTGTGTTGCAAAAGCTTGAGAAAAGCCATTAAGGGGTCATGGGCCTTACGCCTTCAGATTTTGCTCATAATTTTTTGGTTACTGTTCAAAAACAAGTCCCTTGTGGCCTGGAATCATGCTCCAATTTTCTTGTCGGAGGATTACTCTTGAGAGCCACCACGCTCAGAAAATAAACACTCAGATATTTGAGAAACTCTTCAGGCTTTGGAAGAAAAAAGTGCTCCAGAAGCTGGATCATGGGAACACTTTTCTTCCCTCTCCTAAACTTCTCCAAATAAGCAGTGTGCTGATGGGCTAGCTTCCTCCAGACAAAGCCCAAAGCACAAGAGGCAAGCTGGGGAGGGGAGACCATGGTCAGGGCTCCTTGGGCTCGACGGGCAGGAAGTGGGGCAAGTGGATTCTCCCTGGGCTTGCTTCTTGCCCCGGTAGGTCCCGTCTCTGTTGTCCTAAGAAGCTTCTGAGCTTCAAGAGGAGAGGCAGGGACATGGGCAATTCTTGACCTCGGGGTGGCAGACAGTTATATTTGACTTTCACCCTGCAAGGCTCCCAACCTCATAACTCCCAGTAGGAATGTCTCTCTTTTTTACTTCGGCAGCCTAGAGACATCAGAAATTATTGAAACTGATTCCTGACGGGAGATGAAAAGTACTTGAGCCTCAGAGTGAGTCATGTGGCTAGGGTGTGACTCACAGTAAAGTTTCCATACACAAGGCTTACCAGACCTTGGCTATGGAAACCTCCAGTCCTGGTAAATCAGTGTCTGGAGTACCGTACTAGGGTAAAGTTCCTCCATTAAATGAAAGCACTATCAGACACAGACTGAACACTGGCTAGGAGCTAAAGAAACTGCGGGAGAACGAGGAAGTGCCCAGTGCACCTGATGGGAGGGAAGGGACAGGCCTGGATGGAGAAGAGGGCACTGGACCCTGCCACTGCCCCGTGGCTTACGGCATATCACCAGTCCCCCGTGGGCCTCAGTTTTCTCATCTGTCAAATAAGGCCTGGTCCAGCTGGTTCCTAAGAGACTGTGGACTCTGACATGTAGGGTTTTAGCATCTTCTTGGGTAATGGTCCAAGCTGAAGGGTGGTCCAAGGGGGCTGAAGAAGAGTGTGAGATGGAGGAGGGAGACGGGAAGGGAAAGAGATGTGAATCAAGAAAAACAAAGGCAGCTACTGCGGGCACCACCTCCAGTAAAGGCCAGTGCTGGGGGGGTGGGGGGTGGGGGAGGGAAGGCCAGTGCCTAAAACTAACTCCCCCTGGAGACTGGCTAGGCAGGGTTAGCGGGGCTGAGGTGATGGCTAGATCATCTGGCCTCTCGGGTAGCAGAAGCGGCAAGTTTTGATGTGCGCCGTGGGGAAGCTGTCCACTGTCCTCGCCTGGCTGCCAGCATGGGCAGCTCTGCCTTAGGGAGCGGCGGGGTCACTTGTCCAAGGGGAGATGCTGTCGCTGATGCTGCCACAAACAGCACTTGGTGGCCTCAGGCTTGCTGTGTCTGGGGACACTTGCAGGCTCTGGGCTCCTCCTACCCAACCCCACAGCCCCAAATCTGGGCTCCGGCAGCAGCAGACTTTTAACGAGCACTTCTGTTCTTGTTGCGACTTCCATTTGTTTACAGCAGGACACTCCCCTGCTTTGCCCTGCATGGGGGAGACAGTCGCTCTGATCACCAGGCAGGAGGGGCAAAAGGGCTGGAGAGGCAGGGAGGGAGAGCAGGTCCGGGCAGGATGGCTCAAGACGGTTCTCAGTGTTTTCTCCAGCTGGTTATGAGCCTGGCCTTGTTAACACTGGTGTGGGATAGCTAAACACCTGACGTCCCCGGAGAACAAGGGTCAGCCCCCCACAGCCCCGATCCCTCCAGGGAACCTAACTGTCCTGTCTCCCATGCCACAGGCGCTGCATCTGAAGCTCGGTGTGCTATTTCCAGCATTGTGGCTCAAGTGACAGTCTGAAAGCCCTCCGGTCTCACTCAACAGCACAAAAAGTTTCCATGTAAAGAATTTGTACTAGGGAAGGTTGGCAAGACTTAGGGTTTCTAGCTACGGGAAATAATGCAAAGCAATTAATATACATTGTTTAGAAGGAAAAACACTGCAATCAGGCAGGTGAGATACCAGTTAGCTGTTAGTTGGGCTTGTTTTTGGGGAGGTGGAGACTGGAGCTCTCAGTGGGGTCAGGGCAGTGGAGAGCAGCCTGTGTGGTCAGAGGCAGGTGCCACCACCAGCTGCCAAGACCACACAGGATATTTGTGGGCAGTATCCTTTTTTGCAGGATTAAATAGGCACAAGGACACATGGCTGGATTCTCCCAATTTTGACAATGGAGCGGACATGTTTTCTGGGAGTCCTTCTGTAAGGCTACACACACACGGACCCCATATAGAAGCGAATGAGGAGCCCAGACAGCCCAGGTCATGAAGAATGGCCCTGGGTCCTGGTGCAGAAACCACAGGACAGAGCAGCCTGCTGCTGTGACAGGTAGGAGGCTAGACCCACCTGAGCGTGCTCTGCAAATGGCAGAAGACCCCCCTCGCCCCATGGTTCTGATGCCCTGTGCAGCCCACTTCCTTGCTGGCCAGGCACACCTTGCTCAGGCAGGAGACCCTCTGTGAGGCCTGAGCCCCTGCCGCGGCGTGGCCTGGCTCCCAGGAGTCACTTTCTTTTCGCCTCTTCCCCAGTGAGCCCAGCATCACGCCCACCGCACCCTAGGGCCCCATGCTTTCTCTGCCTTGCTTGCCTCTCCATCCTTGCATTCTCTTTTCTCCAGCCCCACCATACACACAGACCTTTGGTCTCTAGTCAGGGTGCTCATTGAGAGCTGTGGCTTCGCTGGAGGTCGTCCCAAGGCAAGAAGAAGCCTGAATGAGGAGAGCTTCTCTTTATGCATCTGACTCTGGGCTACCTGATAGGATGAACTAAGTGCACTATGATATTAAGTTCCCCGACTTGTCTTTTTTTATGTGTTCCTGTTGTGTTTACATGTTTCTGTAAGAGGTCTCAAACCTGTCTGGGTTACTCAGTGTACGTAGATAACGACCTTGTAATAACCCCATCAGCACAGGACTGCCAAATTCACAGGCCCAGGGCTGAAGGGACTTCTCTGCCAGTCAGACTGTTGAGTCTATGCTCTTAGAAATGTCCCCTCCCAGGCGAAAGCCACAGTAACTTGTGCTCCTCCTGGAAAAGTGAATACTGCCCAGAGCTCCGGAGACAGTAAAAGGAGGGAAGGCCCCCCCCCCACTCTTGCAGACGTTCCAGACCCTTAGGGCTAGTCCTCAGCAGAAAACCAGAGAAGGTGTTTCTGGGGCTGGAAGTCAGTGGATTCAGGAGACTGTACAAAGACAGGAGGGGGAAATTTGGCACCCCGTCAGAAGGGAAGCGTGGCCTTGTACTGTCTGACTCACAGGGCTCAGCAGGTGACACAGGTAAGCGCTGGGTGGACAGGGGGCTTGGCTCAGCGGGTGACCTCTCACCATTCCTTGGGTTATGAGCCAGCTGTCTATGGGCTCCAGGTCAGAGTCCCCAACTTTACCTCTCTTCTGGGCCGAGGACAGAAAAGTCCCAGAAAGGAAAGTCACAGCGAGACCCAAGACAGAGAAGGCAGTAGCACATATCATGGATGCAGAAAGGCAGCTATTCAAAGCTGACTGTCATGAGGAAACGTGACCCACCGCCCCCACCAGGGCCCCTTCCAGCATGTCCCCCTTACCTGCCTGAGAAGAGAAGAGAAGTTTAGTAGCCAAGAATCCCAACAGGATAACATGTGCTTTTACCAACCATCCCCACACACTTGAGAAACCAGGAGGTCACAGGTCGCTCAGGATGTGTCTCTGATTAGGCCTCTCCGGGCGACAACTTGTCAAAGAACCAGCTTTTACGCATCATTTTTACTTATTTTTGACTGACTTCTGCTTCTCAATTAACCTATGTATTCTTTTTTTTTTTTTAAGATTTATTTATTTATTCATACAGAACTGGGGTACAGGCCAGAGTGCAGGAGTGGTGAGAGGATTCACCAGACAGGTGGGGAGCAGAACAGGCTGACTGACGAAGTACAATGCTGAGGGGAGCAGCGGGCCGGTCAGGAGAGGTCTGCCACGCCATGTGGATCACCTCCAGGGCGGGTGCTGCAGCGGCTTTAGCTTCTTGGTGCTGTGCTTTAACCCGTTGCACCACCATGGAGGGCCCTAACCTGTGTGTTCTTTATCTAAGCTTTTAACTGGAATGCAAATTTAGGAATATTGCTATACAAATATTCAAAGTTAAGAATACTGATCTGTGGGCCTCCCTGGTGGCACAGGGGTTAAGTCAGCACTAGCAAAGCTATTGCCAGCCACCGCAGCAACAGCCCCAGCCTGGAGGTGACCCACGTGGCGCAGCAGACCTCTCCTGACCTACCCGCTGCTCCCCTCAGCAGTATATTTCAGTGGATCTGCCTGTTCTGCTCCCCACTCTGTCTCTGGTGAAGCCTCTCACCTCCTGCCCCTTTAGCCTACACCCCAGCTCTTGTATACATAAATAAATAAATCTTAAAAAGAATACTAGTCTGGTTGTACTGCAGAAGTGTCATCCCTCACCCCCCTTGGATTCTTATTTTCTTCTTTGGCCCAGTTTTCATTTCCAGGTCAGCATGACTTAGGATGTAGAACAATGTAACCCAAAGCACTGGCCTGAAGATGCACGTGAGTAAGTCTGTGTACACAGATCCTTACATCAATATACACAGATGCGTAGACACACACGGAAACACACACGGAGACACACCACACACACACACACACACACAGTGCTGACACAAATCCTGATTCCCCACTGGGCAGTGAACATGAAAAGTAATCTGCCTGCCACCACATGGAAAACATGCTGGAGTCATCAAGACCTTTGAAAACAGGAGAAGGGCCAAGCCACGCACCCAAAGGGTAAAGGGCAGGAAGCCAGCCACATCTCCTGGGCTTGCACGCAGGCCCCAGCACTGATAAGAGCAGCAGTGCAGCTGGACACGCCCAGGATGGGGAGGGGCAGGCCCTGGAGGGAGGGTGGACAGCAAAGGCTGTCAGCCTGTTGCAGCTCTGTCCCGCAGTCAGGCCAGGGGAAGCCACTGTGGGCCAGGAGGAGGGGCTGTCCTCACCAGGTGTCCCTAATACGCTCCCTCAGAGGCATCTTAGGGATGGGAGTGACAGAACCATGGCACTGCTTTGATCTGGGAGTCCCTGTCTCAGGGGTGGGCACTGCCCACTCTTCAGGGGAACGGCAGGGTGCTAAGAGCCCAAGGCAGCTGGGCCAACTCTTCTGTGCCCCCTGGTGGCCTGTGCGGAGGGATGCGGCGCCCTCAGCCAGGGCCGGCAGAGGCAGAATGAGGAGTTCCTCCCACCAGGGACAGGAATCCTTCCCAGGAGCTTTCCCTCAGAGACCAGGCTGCAGCTCTGGCCCTGCCAGGGCCCACGTGGACAGGGGCTGCAGGTGGCTAAGAAGTGGCACTCAGGAAGCAGTCCTAGTGACAGGTGGGAACTGCCTCTTTCTGGCCCAGTTGGGGGATCCTGAGAGGAGCTCCAGCTGTTTGGGTGTCTGCTGTCCCCACAGCCCTCATCCCCCTGCCCCTGCAACGGACGTTCATTCACACCCTGCCGCACGTGTCTTGGGCACAAAGGGAAACTGTCTTGTGAGAGGCATCAAGACAGCGATCCTTTCTGAAGCCCCACAGAATATGCACGACAGCTCGGTGCTCCAACCAGCACCATGCCCACCTCAAAGTACCCCCACTTTTAATTTAGTTCTGCTCCTTTGAGACACAGAGCTTCCCAGAACACCCTCTTAGTCACCACCTACCGCTCCTCCCACCCTTCTAACCCCAGTTCCCCAAACAAATCCTGCCCATCAACTACCTGCCAATGAGGCTAGAACTGCTTTGCTAGGCCAGCTGCAGATAAGCAACAGAGATGCAACTCAGGTGGGCATTTTCCTTCTTTGTAAGGGTCAGTATTTTGTCAGAGCGTTACCCACCCCAGGACACTGTAACCTTTGAGGAGAGACCCTATCTGGCCACAGGCAACCTGGGCCCTAGTACAGGAAGACCAGGGTTCTGGGTCAGACCTCCCGGGAGTGGAACCTCCCATACCCACTCTTTGGGTGCCCCGGGCACAATCTACCAATCTGGGCCTGCTTTGGACAGTGTCAATGGGAAGCTGATCTGGGCTGTCACCCCCTATCGGGATGAGGACTCAGTGAGGTGATAGTACTCTCATTCCCATCTGCCCTCTGTGCAAGGCAGCTTCTGCTTAATTGCCCAGCCGGTTTTGCCAAACAACCCACTTTTCCCTTCAGAGGACGCAAGGTAGAAAATTAGGGTTCAAGACCTACCACTTCAGAGTTCTGTTTTCGACTGTCTAGTGCAGAAGCCAGTCCACCAACAGCCTGAGGGTCCTCATAGGTCACTCTGGAAGCAAAGCAGCACAGGGAGAGTGAGCTCGTCCAGTGGGTGTGGACAAGAGGGAAGTGACCTATAATCACTTTCTACTACAGCGCCTTCCTCCCAGGTACTAGGAGACATGTTTCCCACAGCCTTGGCATGTGGAAGGCCGCTACGCTCACCACTGTAACACCAACGCAGCCCTGGCATCTGGGCAGAGGCTCGGGGCTCGCGCACCTGGCCGACAGCAGCTGAAGTTTGGAGACCTGGGTTCTCGCACTGGTTCAACCACTCATTTCCTCTGGGGCCTCAGGCACCATGTCCCTGCATGACTCTCTAAGCTCAGTGAGGAGATATCAAAAGAGCCCCAAAACTGCTGGAAGGAGGGACTACAGATAAAGGCAACATACTATTAATTCTTATTTTAAAGCAGCAGCCTCCGTGGCGTTTGCCGGAAGGTAGACCCACAGCTGGGATCAGGAGCTGTCACTGATTACGGAGTCGTCTTCCTCTGTGCCCACTCCTGCTACATCTGTCTTGAAAGCAATTTTTGCTGGTGAAGGGTGCCAGAGCCTTCACTTCCTGGTCCACTTGTTCAGTCCTGAGCACAGGACTCAAGTACACACACCACGGTGCGGGAGGGCCTGGGGGTGGTGGGTGGGGAGGGCAGCGTTCCTGGCTTGCTTTCAGACTGAACATGCTCAGATCATGTTCCAGCGCCTCCCTGAGAGGCAGGGGCTTGTCTACACTGGGATCAGCTCCCCTAGCTCCACGTGGCTCATCTGGGCCAAAGCTGCTGTCAGTAAAGGTTCTGCCCCCACCCCTGGGCAGGAAAGGCACGCTCCTAGGAAGCAGTACCAGTCTCTGCCTGGCTATAGCCTAACTCCAGCTCCTCCCACAGAAGAGCGGGTCTCTGGAGCAGCACTGACAGCAGTAGGGTAGAGAGAGAACAGCAGAGCATCTCTTGTGACTGATAGGAGGAATCAAACAACCAACCCCAAGGTGGTGGGGTGGGGGTGGGAGTAGAGGTAGGGCTGGCATTCATTCAACATCTGTATCCACTGCCAAGTCCTCACAGCCATATTTTAAAGTTCTTGGCAGTCTGGGACCTGGCAAATAAAAGGCTTCTTTGTGTTGGCTTGTGACCAAGCCTGTGTCAATTCTCCCCCGATATCTTCCCAGAGCCACTGCAAGGGTCCCTACGTACGTCTTGCGTTGCTCGGCCAAGGAGTTCCCTCTCGTCTGAGCAAACATGTCAAAGCCGTCACGAGAATTACACTGCTGGAGTGAACTGAGGGTGCCGCTGACGCTGTCTGTCCCCAGGTCTGTGGGAACAAAACAGACGAGGAGAGGATGAAACAGAATGTGGCCTGTGGACTTGAAGGATTCCCAAAGTCAGGGTGTCAGCTGGGGTGGCTGGTTTTCGGGGGCAGGTTCAGGGAGACACAAGACTTTCCTTAGCATTCCTAGCTCACCACAGGTAGGAGGAGCCTGGCGAGGGAGGGAGAGAAGAGTCACTGACCCCCAAGCTATTCGTGGTGGGGAGAGAGTCATTATGAATGGAAGGGAGATCGCCAGCACTGAGGGGCAAGGACAGGGTCCGCGCCCACAGACTTCTCATAATGCCCTTATCAGTGTGCTGCTCATGAACTCAATTACTGCCTGGAAGGATGCAGTCACCTATTTATTTGACAAACATTTCATAGGCATCCACCACATTCGGAGCAAGATCTTTAGCAGAGCAAATTGAATCTGACATGGTCCTTGGCCTCAAGGAAGGCAGAGTAGACGGGAGTCAGGCCACAGCAATGCTGAACTTGAGATGCCAGGAAATACGCAAAACTGACACAGGCGTGTGTCCTTGCAGCTGAGTAAGTGATACTGCAGGAGCAGGGACAAAGGCTCAGGGCCTGGAAGACCAGGGAGTGGGAAGTGAGCAGTGCTCACGGCAAGGCTAACAGGGAAGGCTGGACGGCGGGTGTGCAGGTGGCAGGGGGCAGTGGGGAGTCTGAGGCCAGCTGAAAGAGCTGATGGAGAAACACTGGGCCTTTTCTGAAGGTGGAGCTAGAGTTTAATTTGAATTTTAGGTATTAAATCTGAGACTGTATGCTGGATGGACTGAAGGCAGCGCAATCAGTTCTAAGAGGAACAGTAGCTACAGATATATGAAATATTCAGAAGCTAGAATTAACAACTGACAGGCCACTAAATAAACGCTCAATTTGGCAGAAATGAAATGAAGGTATAAAGATAAATATTAAGAAAAGAAGAAACCAGGGAGTACATTTTGAGCGGGTTTATTAGTTAATTTAGTAGTGTAAGTGAATCTACTATAAATTGGTGTCATCTAGTGTATACGTAGCCTCGAGAGTCATAAGCACCCTCTTAACAATGAACTATGGCCATATGGTGAGTTTTTTATTTTAGCTTTCAGACTGTGGAACACTTTAGGTTGATGATAATTCAAGAATAATAAAATGTCAATGTCATCACTTTCTATTTCCAAGTCTGTGGCAGATATCACCAATCCATCAACAAATCATCTTCTAAATCCTGATGTGGCTTTGGCAGACTTCCTAGACCTGTGCCCCAAGCATCCAGTGAGCTGAAACTTACTAGCCAGTTGATATCAAAATGGGAATATTCCAAATAAAACACAGCGACCTTTCTTTAAAAAGCAAACTCAAAACTTCTCTTACTGCTGCTTTTCTCCACTTTCAAGTTTCCCAAACTTTTTAAGCTTGGGGCAAGAAGTTAGGAAGTGAAGCTGGTACAACTGGCTAGGACTCAGAAATACTCTCCAGGCTTCCAATAAGGAAAAAGGAACCTTCAGTCCAGATTCACACCCAAGAAGTGACCTGCAAAGGAGGCCCTTTACCCCTTGTTGACACTCACCCAAGCCTGCAAGCTGGGAGGAGAGGGAAGATGGGGGTGCCGTGTTCCCCACCATTGGGCTCACCACCGCTGGAGACCCTGGCCCCAGGTCTATTAAGTTGTCTTCTGTTACTTCGTTCAGTACCTGTCAGAGCATGAGATGGTGGTGAGCCCCAGGGTGTTCGTGCCAGTTCTCAGGTAAAATGAGCAGGTGCCATGCAGGGTTCCAGAGGAAAGACATCACCACTGAGCCAGGACAGGAGCTAGATGGTTCCCCTCACCCCAAGCAGGGGTTTCAGTGTGCTTCCCCCAGTGGCCTCCCCACACCCCAACTTAAAGGAGGCAGGGCTGAATCAGGGACCATTCCGGGGCTGTTAACTTGGGGTTTCCTTGCCACCCTCCCTTTAGGGATGTGCCTGCTAGCTCTTCCTCAGTATCCCACCAAGCAGTTTGCTCTTCAGTTGCCCAAATATCTTCACCCCGGTAAGAAAAACTGGAGATGAGGTCGAAGGAGGCAGTTTCCTGCTCTGCAGATGAAGGACTTCTGAAAGAATACTTACTCCATTACTGGCATTCTGAACCGATCGGCCTGATCTGTATCGCTCAAACCTAACAAGGGAAGGGAAAGAATGGTGAGGAAAGAGATAGATGCTTATGATGTGGCTCCAGGATGCTTGCTGGTCCTGGGAGGACAGTAGAAACTGAGGAAAGGAGACCAACCAGGCCCACCTGGGGGGCTAGGAGAAGTGAACCCCCACATATACAACTTTTCCAGGTCTTCCTCAAGGTGAGGTCCCCCCAGAGGAGGATCAGCCTTCCCCGAGGGAGAAGGGCACTGGTTGGCACATGCCATAGTCCACTATAAGCAGTCTCAGTCATCTCCCCACACACCTGGTCCAAGAGCGCTCCCTTTGTGCCAGGAGAGGAAGTTGGATCAGCCACTACTGTCTCTGATGTCCATCTGCAAAGCCAGGCCAGAACTGCACCCCTCCCTATTTCAGAGCTGATGATTTGTTAACACAACCTTGGCTCCACTTGCTGGCGGGGAAGGGTGGGACTTGCGCAGGGCAGTACTGGCCGTAGCAGTGGTGCAAAGGCTCTCCAGAAGCTGCTGGAAGAGCACAAGCAAGTCCCCACCTGTGATGGGCTGCCAGTCAGGCTGCGCTCCTGGTCAGCTGGGAGCAGATGGATTGAAGATGCAGGAGACCTGGCTTGGAGCAGTGGCATCTCACACCAGGTGGGGAACAGAAGAGCCAGTGTGAGGTATGCATGGGACCTGCCATGGTATTGAAAAGCTCCAAAGTGCCAAGGCCACTTTTCCCAGCTGAAGCCTGGAGAAGCCAGGCTTTACAGAGATGCATGACACCATACTGGTCTCCCCACTGCTGGGTCAGAGTCTGGTAAGCAGGGCTCATCAGCAGGGCATCTGGTTAGAAAGACCTGGGGGCCTCCCTGGTGGCACAAGGGGTCAAAGCACAGCACTCTGCAGCCCTCTGAAGCTATCGGCAGCACAAGTTCCATCCCAGGACAGGGAGCTGACCCACAGGGCACAGCAGATCTCTCCTGTCTCCCCTGCTGCTCCCCTCGGCAGTGTTATTTCAGTAGACCTGCCTGTTTTGCTCCCCACTCTATTGCTGGTGAATCCTCTCACCTCCACCCCCACCTCTGTCCTGTACCCCAGCTCTGGTAGGCTAAATAAATAAATCTTTAAAAAACAAGAAAGAAAGAAAGCCCTGTGGGGTTGTTTTTTGTTTTACAAAGTCTGTACAAATAGGAGTATTCATACACCTGAGAAGTTTCTAACCGGGAGCACTTTTCCCTCACTCTCTGCAGGGGCAATATTCTTGTCAAAGGCACTCTGACCAATAATGAAACCTCAGGGCTGCTGGCCCACACTTTGCCTCTGAATTTGTTGTAACACAGGGCCTGGCAAACTCTGGAAATACCCACATGGTTTCCAGGCATCGTATTCTAGAAGGAACTTAGATGAGTTCAGCAGGTTAAAAGCCAAACTCATTTAAAGCAGAAAATCTGGAGTTATATGCTAAAATCAAGGGTCTTGGGCTGGGAGCCCAGGCACATAGACCTACTCCTGTTCTCCAACTGCCAAGGGAGGGGTGCTGGGGGGAAACCTGGGTAGACCATATTCTCACTGCAGAGGACTCTTCATCCATCAGAAGGATATAGGGTCACCCACTCCCCTTTGTCACAACTGAAGCTGAGACAAAACCCAGAGTTGGCCAATCACAGCAAAATCTCCTCGAAGCCCCCCAGATGCCAGCTGCTGTCACAACGACCCTCCCTGATGCCAGATTATGGTGCCATGAGCCAGCACAGGGGCCAGGCCCCAAGTTTCCAGGGAAAAGGCTGGCCTGGTCAAAGTATTTTCTGGTGCCAACACTGGGTGGTTCAAGGAAGCTCAAGGCACACTCCTCAGAGAGATGCCAGGGGAACCCTGCTGCCATCAGTACTCCTATTGAAAACTGTCTGAATAAGACATTTGCACTTCTTTCCCCAGGGAAGGCTCTGGAAAAGGAAAGGAATTTGCAAATTTGTTACCTCAAACCCAGAAATGACTTGGCTGTGGAAGGAACTGAAACGAGTGTGTGCGCGGTCCCTGCGCACCGCATGCCAGCACTCACGCCAGCCTGCTTCTCAGCTCTTGAGACACGCTGACATTTGCAAAGGGAGGGAAAAATCTTTTTTCTCTTTTTTTAAAGAAGGCAAAGAGGAAATCTTTTTTCCTTAGTAGAGTCCTCCCCCCACCCCCCTTTAATCCTTTTCAAATTCAAAGGTTCTTCAAAGGAGCAGGTGCAAAAACTCCAGGGCCCCCAAGCCCCCCAGTGCTCTCCCTCCTGGGACTGGGGGTGTGGGGGAAGGGAGAGCAGCCTGAGGCTTACAAAGGGCAGAGTCTAATCTACACGTCAACTTCCTGCTGCTTGGTTCCCAGGAGAACAAGAGGCATTTTCTCCTGTCATCTGGGAACAAATTAGCATCTCTGATGAGTATTTTCCAACTCTAATAACTCTCTCTCTCTCCCCTTTGTTTATGAAAGAAACCCCTCTGTTATGGCAACAATCTTTTCAAGGGGGAAAAACCCGCTGGCTCCCACCTCTCGTATCTAAGGAAGACATTGTTGAGGTCGTCGTTGACGTGCAGCAGCTCCTCGGTGACCTCCTCGTTGGACACGCGGGAGATGAGCTCCACGATGCGCTGCTGCATGGCCCGGCAGGTCCTGTTCAGCTCCTAGGGAACACACGCACCTCTAGTAGTCTGCTGGGTATGCTTTTGTCACATTCCACTTCCTTTGGAAAAATGGGTACCGATTCTTAAAAGTCATGAAAGGAGTTCATGCTCGTCGATAAAGCCGGACGTGTGTCAGATGCAGAGTGCTGGGCCCTCCCTCCCTGCTTCTTCTCCGACCCCAGAAAAGCAAGTGCCTTTCAACAAATGTCCATCCCTTATGCTGTTATGGGTATGTACGTACAGGTTCGTACGAATCACTTTTAAAATGTAATAGGATTCTTTGCAGCTTGCTTTTTCTCTCCAATAGAATTTTCCAGTCACCTTTCCCTTACTGTGCATGACTGCCTCATCCCCATGTGTGCCTCTCAGAGCAGCTCACGGTTCTACTGCTGGCCTTTTAGGTCGGGGCTCCTTCTCTGGCAAACCTAGATAATGCAGCCGTTTAGACTGGTGTACACACACACACACACACACACACACACACACACTTATGTATTCGTGCCAGCATTGCCACAGGACAAGCTCTTAGAAGTGGGGTTTCTGAAAGGATATGGTTATTTAGAATACTGGTTGTTGATAATGAAAGAGCCCTCCCAAAGGTGGTATCATTTTATATTGTGACAACAGAATGAGGATATTTTATGATGACAACAGGTGCATTTCAGCGGCAGGTCTCAGACTACCTCACTAGGTCTCAGAAGCTCAGCAAGCTCCCACAAGGCTTCCAAAGTGACACTCACGCACCCTCAGCCACTACATCAGCCTTCCCCACCGTGGTTAGCAATCCCCCCTACCCCCAAGACCTGCCCTTATCACTTTCTGGTCTGACCTCCAAGGGCCTTCCCTGGTCCAGACAGCAGCCTGAGTGATGTTCTTGTAGGAAAGTGCTTATGCAGCTGCCCAGACACCCACCAGGGCTCCTTGCCACCATGCATGCCAGAGGTTTCTGAGAGACTTAATGAACGAAGGCAAGTTGCAGTCCTTCCATCTGCACCCAGCCCAGAGTATCCAAATAACACGCCCTTGCACCCACATGCACAGGCACCCCCGCCCCCCACCTCACTGCTGGAGGCTGGTGGGCTTCCTAAGCTTGATCATGCAGGTAAGATCATGGCAGGCACCTCACAGACACGTCCATCTCAGAGCAGATCAGGGTCACCAGGCCTAGACATTGCTTCTGCTGCCACTTGAAAGGCTGCTTGGCCTGCAGAAGCTCCTTCCCCGAGGCGGGAGGAGTGGAGGAAAGGAGCCCAGGCTGTGTGGACCAGCCAAGAATCACCCAGCACAACTGCATTCATACAGACAGAAGGTACCTAGCTTTAGGCAGGTGTTCACCTTTAGGAATAAAGTTTCTCTTGGTGATTCTCTGGCTGGCAGGGCCACCTATCCAGTTATGGAAACAGTGCCAGGATCACAGCTCTACCCTCTTGCCAGCACTCTGCACGGTCAGAATGGTGCCCTTATTCTCTTTTGGTCAATGAGGACAGCAAGCCCCATGTGCGACCTCCCTGTGTTGACTATGCACACAGATTTCCTAAGACTCTGGAGAATGCAGGATCATCCCTGGAAGTAGGGGCCTTTGAGCAAACCACTGGATAGTCAAAACCTCTCTCTCCCTATCCTCACCCTAGTGCTGCAGGTGACAGCCAGCCCCAGGGACCAGGCCAGACACACCAGCCCAGCCTGGTGGTAGAATTCTCACAGTCACCACATATATGAAGGAATGGGCACACATGTGGCGGGGGCCAGCGTGGGAGAAGGATGGCAATTCTGAAGCATTCTGCACCGCCGGTTCTTCCAAAGCACTGGCTCCCTGCCATATTCTCACTCAGCTTTGCACATAAGTTCAGACTCCTCTGCAGCACTCTTCACTGGGAGAATGGCAGATCCATGTTCATCCAAAATCTAATTTTTCCTCTCTAGGATATATCCCAGGTTCTAATGAACCAGCAGTTAGCATTTATATACAGACAAGTGTGCAAATAACAAGAGGCAAAAACCAAAAATTAATTGCAGAAGCCACCGATGTTGAGTAGAGTAAAACACCATAAAACTCCCACTCTCTTTCACTGTGAATGGCTCCTCAGCCCAGGCCCACGAGGAGAGGGGCACTCAACTGCCTGGTCAGTAATAGCCACACAATAACCACTGTGGGTGCCATGGATACTCACACATCAAGTCCAGTGACCAGAGTTATAGTCACAGTACACAGGAAAGAGAGATAAAGGCTGCTCATGAGCAATGGTAACAGGAAGCCAGACCCTCCATATTAAACAATAAAAAACACCAAGCTTAGGAAAGAAGCAATCTCATTAGACAATGCCCATGGAGGATTCTACCAGCTAGGACTGAAGTGAACACTGTAAGTAATCACAGTATTTATAACACATCTCAGAGCGCACCTACTTCAAGTTGAAAAGGGAGCATGAATTTAGGCTAAGTGTAAAAGACCAGCCACCTGCTCCAGCACCCCCCTGCCACCCCCCACCCAAATGGTGTTTGGTAAATACTCAGGCAATAGGTCTTGCCCTGCCCAATGCTTTGAAAGAAATGGAGGAGAACTGACCAAAGAGTGTAGGAACAGGAAAGCCAGGCCCAGGGGATAGGATTTTGGGTGGCCGGGCAAGGAAAGAGGTGCAGCATTCCACAGCCTCCCATGGACCTTTCTGGGGCCACTTTGTGTTAAACCCTCACCCCTCTCAGTACAATGTGCTGGCTGCAGATGAGACCAGTGTTCTTAGGTGTCTACAAAAAATCTCTGATGAGCAAAAGGACCTTGAATCCCAGCGATGGACCTACTCCCTCCAGCAAAGGCAGCTGGACAGGCCCAGGACAGCGAAGTGTGGCCCCCATCTGGTGCTTGCAGCTAAGCAGCAAACCCTGGAGCCCTGGGGTGGGAGGGGTAAAGGCAGGTGTCAGTCACTTTTCATCCAAACTGCAGGTCCAGTAAAAAATGCAGGATCTGTCTGTCAGAGGAATATGGCAGCGTATATTAGGACACGTCTAAGGTCAGCTCTCCAGAAGCATGCGGCGGCACTCCCTAGAGCGTGTGGACTATCTCCAAACACTTTTCATACTGTTTAAAATAGCAGATGACTTCAGACACTGGCCCCACTGCTCAGGAGCCCATGTGAGTCAGCCTTCTGCCTGGCTAGCCTCCTCCCTTGCCACCAAACAGATTCCTACTTGTCCTCCAAGGTCCCAGGATGTTACTCCACCCTAATTGTTCATGATGAAAATTTTCAAGCACAAAGCAAAGTTGAAGGACACCAATAGACACCAGATACCCAGTACCCTGGTTCTGCCATTAACACTTTAATGTGCCAGCTTTACCACATGTCTACCCAATTCTCCATCTCCCTAACCACCCACAATTTGCCACCAGCCTTCCTCCTCAAGATTCCCAGAGCTCTCTGGACACAGCTTGTCATCAGTTACCCCTGCAGAGCCTACAGAGGGACTACCTCTAAGAAGTGAAGACCAGCTCCACCCTACCCCAAAGGCACAAGCCCCAGGACAAAGATCAGGCCTCTGGGAAGATTCACTGAAGTCAGAGGAAACCAGGATCAGCTGTCCAGGCCGCCAGCACTCTCTGGGCCTACCTGTCCCTGGTGAAGTGGTGAAGCTCTCCACTGAGGGGCCCCTGAAGCCCCCTGCCTATGTCAGCAGCTCGCCTTGGCTGTCATCTAGCTTAAACCCCTTCATTTTTTTTTTTAAAATAATAGCAGGTTTCATATTTATCTGATGATTGCACATTATATATCCCTCCTGGTGGAACCTGGCTACATGAAGTTTTCCACTTGTTTTATTCAACTCAATGTCTCTAATATTTACCACATAGTAGATACTTAATCAGCATGTATTGAAAGAATAAATAACAAATATGTGGTTATTATTCATGGTCACTAGGCACTAATAAATATTTAACTCTTTGTTCATCTGTATTTCCACAGTTCTATTTAATCTGTACAGCTGCCATTTTATGCAGGCTTTGCATTGTGTGTGTGTTTTTTAAATAATATAATAGTTTATTTTTACACCATTTTGTGCCTTTTTCCATCTCAGTTGTAATCCCCGTGGGCTTCCCATCACCAAATCACTCGTGTGCCATCACCATAGTCCAGTGCATTTCCCTCCCCCCACTGTTCTTGATCCCATTCTCCACTCCATCCCCATAAATTGTCTCTGGTATATAGCTGTTTATTATTATTATTATTATTATTATTATTTTCTCACCTGGTCCATTAAACCCCTTCATTTTTTAAAAAAGAGACTTATTTATTTGTGCACACAGAACTGGGGCACAGGCTAGAGATGCAGTGGTGGTGAGAAGATTCACCAGAGACAGAGAGGAGAGCAGAACAGGTAGACCTACTGAAATACACTGCTGAGGGGAGCAGCAGGCGAGACAGGAGAGGTCTGCTGTGCCACGTGAGTCACCTCCCTGGCCAGGGAGTGAACACATGCTGAAGAGCTGTGGCCAGCTTTGCAGTGCTGCACTTTAACCTGCTGGACTACCAGGGAGGGCCCTAGCTTAAACCTCTTTTCTGTAGAATCTTATTTGTGAAGGAAAGGGTTCTACTACTCTACAAAAAATGTTTGGAAAGTGCTAAAAATCTGAGACCTCTGCTAGCTCTAACATGGCGACCTCAGCTTAGAGGAAGACTGAGATCCAAAGGTACAGGACGCAGAACCCTCAAAGACTACAGCAGTAGAAACAGCCACTTAGACCTTTACTCTCCTTTTACTGCCCTCAGCTGGGGTGGTGGAATGGCCAGCCCTAACCCCACAGGCAGAATCTCAGAGCTCCTGCCCTGGACAGACAGGCTGACCCTGGGACTCTGAATCAGGGACGTCAAGGGGTGACTGCAGAGAGAAAGCCTTACTACCTCCTGAAGTCAACTGTCTTATAAAAAAAAAAAAAAAAAGGAAGAATAAAGCATAAGAGAGGGGGAAAATTAAGATTTTTGCCACCACAAATGTCAGTCGGCCACCCACATGGCCGCTGTGGGCCGTCCAGAGCCACCTCAGCTCAGCTGGGTGACCTTCTCCACCTCTCCGAGCCCCAAACCACCCAGACAGAGAGAGACCCGCTCTGTCCTAAGATAACGAGAGCCTCCAGCTTGCCGGCAGTCCTTCCCACTGAGCAGCAGCTGGGCTAGGGATTTCCTGAACACTGAAGATTTCAGTATTGGCCTCCTCCTATGTCTGATTCTCAACAGAGGGAAGAACAGCTGGCCACGGTTCTTTGTGCAAAACCCCTCCATCTCTCAGAACATCTTATTAAAATAGCCTCTCTTTTCTAATTAATCCCAATGCCTTCATCTTTTCTTCAAGGGACATTCTCATCCCCACCTCGCAAAACAATCTTTTAATCATCTTTCTGGGTTTCCTCTGAACCCTCTCCAAGTTCTAAGGAGCATGGAATAAGGTCCTAAAGACCTGCTCTCTATCGCTACAAAGGAGAGGAGAGGAAGAACAAATTCTTTGTTGAAGAGAAAGGAGGAATCATGAAACTAAACATGTAGTATGGGACAGTTTTCTCTGGAGAAAGTGGTCCTGGCCATCCTGTTTTTTTGTTGAAATGAGATGCAAGAAGCAAGAGGGGCTATACCATCTGCTACCTGAAAAAGCACGTGCGTGGGAGGGGGGCTTCTTTTGTTATCTGATGGATGACCATGTAGGCATATGCATTTTGGCATCACTGGATTAATTAAAAGTTAGTACTCCCTGAAGGCAAAGCTCAAGAGGCTAATTTGAAAGTGACAGAGATGACAGCGTCAGGGTCTTTAAAGAGTCTAAGAAGTTGACCACACCACAGGCGCTCAGGACGACCTTTAGCAGACCAAGGGGCGGCAGTTCCAGTTTTGAGTCTGGACCCAACTGTGCATGCACAGAATGGGAAGACATGGATTTGCGGCCTCAGGAGAAAGAGATGGAGAATTTTCAGTCGATGGAAGCTCTCTGTTTCATATCTGCCTTCTGCTGAGAGCTGTCTGGTCACCTACAGGGTGGACTGTCAATGGCCACATGTGGACCAAGTAGAGACTGGGTTGTGGAGAGGCCTATGGCACAATATCAGGACCTACCACGTGAAAGAGGACTTTGTTTTGTTCTGCTGTTATAGAAGACAGACCGGGGGAGCAGTTATGGGTGGCTGACTTCAGCTCCGTGTATGGGGGGGTGCGCCAATAATAATCCCAGAAGCTCCACCTTGAGGGTGACTTGCCAGGAACCGGCACTGTGCTGGGTACATGAGCTAGATGACTCCCAGTCTTTCCAAGGTGAGAGTGACGACGCCAGCCTGAGGGGGTACGTGACCTGCTGAGTGTCACCCGGCTTGTCAGCTGTCAGCCTCGATGTGATCCAGTGATTCCTAAACCCTTGCTCTTTCTGCCGTGCTGCCTCCCCAAGTCTGAGCAAGCCGGGCGTTTGGAACAAAAGTGCGTCCGCAGCTGACACGAACAGGCTGTCACTGAAGATATTAAGAAAAACGAGGCACACATCAGGCCAGCTGCCGGAGAGGGATGAGAGCACAGGTGTGGAGCTGGACGAGCTGTCTATATCTCTCCCAACTTAGAGTGAGAAGGTTGCCACACACTGAGGAGGGTTGCTGTTCCCTCTGGGAGTCTCGCTTCACTTTCCCGGGGGGCTCCAGCTAAGCTGACAGCACAACACGGAGGGGCCTCAACCTCCCCTCACCCACCTGATGGTCCTCAGGCAAATGGCTCTCCCTGGCCAAGATGCCCTGCTGCTCTGAAGAACTGAGAAACTGAGATAAGGCTACACCTGAAAGTGCTTTGGACACACAGGAAGTAATCGGGACATAACCTGCCCATAATTATGGGTGGTTACACTGGTGCATCCTGGGGCTGACACCTCCCATTTCCTCTCTCCCCCCTTCCCCCACCTCCTACCCAGCAATTTTCACGCGGGCGGGGGCAGCTTCTGTTGGCGTGAACATTTGGGTGGGTGACAAATGTGTTTATTTCCATGGCCCTGGCCAGCACTGTGAGCTCTGGACAGCTTCTAAACGGAGCAGTCTGGCTGCCCTCCAGCCCGACAGAGGGGTCCTCAGGGCACATTCTGACCCCATCAATTCCCAAACACATGGTGGCATTTTCCCAAGTGGAAGGCTCGCCATCCGCTGTGGCCCCACCCCTTGGGAGACCCTGTCCGGCTGACTTCCAAGTGCTGGGGGAAGAAGTGGGGAAGCTGGGGGGGGGGGTAAAGGGTGGGGGCGATGTCAGGCATGACAGAAGAGGGAGGCCAGCAGCCAGGAGAGTAGTGTCTGTTCACACAGAGCTGCCCGACTACTGAACCTCCCGTGCTGAAAGGACAGCCTCCCACTGGCACCCAGAGCAGCTCTTTCTGTTTGATTTATAAGATAGCAGTGAGAGCTGGTAGGCTCCGAGTTGGAACAAAACAGAGGGAAGGAAAACGTCATGGGAAGCAACCTATTTTTGAAAACTGTGAGCTGACGCCAGGAGATTAGGTTCTGTTTGTCTTGGCTGATGGGCTTGTTTAAAACACACACAGACACATGCACACACGCACACGCACACACACACACCCATGCACGCACAGGGTATTCATACTGTCTGGGTCTGTTCTGGCTGTCTGGAAGCATGCTGGCTTTGTTCAGCCCACCCCCTGCTGCCGGGAGCTCAGTTCTGTCCACCACAAATCCCCTGTCAGCAGGAATCCTGATGCTGACACAGCACAAAGCTAGCAAGAGGCCCTCTCAGTTTCTGGACTAATCTCAGATTCCTGTGCGTTGGGTAATGCCTGGAAGAACCCCCCGCAGGCTGGGAATGGAGGCCAATAACACATTAGTGGGACGCTGGGTCCCATGGAGCACGGCACATGGACAGCTGGGCCTTCTAAAACGAGGCAGGCCTGGTTTGCTGCAGGTGGGCAGGACGTGAGGACTGGGAGCTGAGGAGGGCCCACTCAGGGATCCTCACTCAGCTGGCCGAGGGCACTCACCTCAGCTTCCTGCCTGCCTCCTGCACTAGGCTGTGTGCTCCTCAGAGCGGGGGCCATGGAGCCGGCATCTCCATGCTTTGTTCTGTGTTAGGCCCGGACAGGCCTCTACCCGCCCTCATCCCTGGGAACTGACAGCTTCTGAGGAGGAAGGGGCTCCACAGCAGCACTTGGGATCAGGCCCAGCCACTGAGGCTGTGTGCACTCCTGAAGGACTCATTAGAGTCCTCACTCATTAGAGCTGAGCCTTCACAGACAGCAAGTCTGTGCCAACAGCAGGGTGGGAGGTGTGGCACTCAGGGGGCCAAGACAGACTCTGAGTGCCCAGACACAAATAGCAGCAGAGCACGTCTAAGGCACTCACCCAGTTTGCCAAGCCAGTCTGGCTCCTGACCTGTTTACTCAAGCATCTCACCTCCTGCTGAAAAGATCTGGCGCTTGCAATTTCCAACATCCTTTCTCCACCCCTCCCAAAGGTCACTGCTTCTAAGGACAGTGCTGCTGCCGTTTCTATAAATGAGAGTTGTCTGAGATCAGCGTGGTCAGATCTGGCCTAGCGCTGGACCAGGCTGTCCTGGGAAACAGGCCTGAGACAGGATCCCTGACTAATTTGAGGGCAGCCCTGTATAGGGGACCCCCCTTTTTTTGCCATGGTGCCTGGTCCCAGGGCAGAGGAGGCCGGTTGGCAATAGACCTTAGGAACCATAATATAGGTAACCCCCAGTCCAGGTTTCTTAGCGTTTGGGAAAAGAAAACGAACTTCAAACATCATCTCAGTCTAAGGAATATGTTTGGGGTAAGGTATGGCCTAAAGGGCTCCTCTCTATGGGGGGAGGTAATGAGGTCCTGTCACAAACATTTATGATACAACGCTGAGAGAGCAAAGCAACACATAACATCAAACACATAATATGATCTCAACTATATTGAAATAAACATAGAAGAGAGTGAAAGAAAATACATCAAGGGCCCTCCCTGGTGGCGCAGCGGGTTGGGGCACCACACCAAGAGGCTAAAGCCACTTCTAAGTAAGTTCGATTCCCGCCTGCCCTGGAGCTGACCCACAGGGCACTGCAGACCTCTCCTGACCCACCCACTGCTCCCCTCAGCAGTGTACTTCATCGACCTGCAGTGTACTTCATCGACCTGCCTGTTCTGCTCCCCACTCTGCTTTCACTCTGGTGAAACCTCTCACTGCCCCTGAGCCTCTGACCTGAACCCCAGTTCTGTATGCACAAATAAATAAGTCTTTAGAAAAAAAAAGAAAATATATCAAACACTGACAGTAGTTATGTGGGATTAAAGAAATTTTTTTCTGGCCCTCCCTGGTGGCGCAGTGGGTTAAAGCACAGCACTGAGAATCTAAAGCCACTTCCACATGAGTTTGATTCCCGCCCGCCCCGGAGGTGACCACATGGCGTGGCAGACTTCTCCTGAACCGCTCACTGCTCCCCAGCAGTGTACTTCGTCAATTTGCCTGTTCTGTTCCCCACTCTGTCTCTGGTGAAGCCTCTCGCCGCCCCTGAGCCTCTGGCCTGTACCCCAGTTCTGTATGCACAAATAAATAAATCTTTTAAAAAAAATTTTTTTTTTCTTCTTTGCTCTCCTTCTTTCTTTCAATCGGTATGCTACAGCGGGAGTTTCATAATGAGGGGGAAAGTGTTTTTAAGGAAGGTAACTGCAAGTTTAGTTTACTACTGGCTACTGATCATTCCCAGGAAGGAAGAGGGAGGGTGAGCTGGGCGACTATGGGTGCAGTACCTTGCAACAGCAGTCTACCCAAGCCCCATCTTCGCCTCCATAGGTTGAATGCTGCGACCCTAGCCCACGGCTTCCAGGTATGGTCCCTCCTCACCTGTAGCAACTCCAGGTCAGATGAATCCTCCTGCCCGGGGACCATTTCCGTTAACATCTCCGACATAACTTTTGTGTTTCCTCGAACAACATCCAGTTCACTCCGCAGCCTGGCAATCTGTTGGGGCCAGGAGAGGAGAACAGGAAGGAGAGGTCAGTCAACCTGTACGTGGCCGGACAGTCCCATTCATTATGACATCCAGGTTGCACCTCTGGGTGGGTGAAGTAGAAGCAGCAGTCTTCTCTGATGCAGATCTGCCTGGGAGGGTGATGGCAGCCCTGAGAGAGAATGGAATGGGGGATGGAGGCCACCCAAGGGCCCTGGTTATTAAGTTTGTCACTGGAACTCTGCCTACGATACTGAGGCACACTGTGTAGAGAGAGCTCGCTGGGTGTGGTGAGGACCGAACTGGTTTGCAGTCCCAACTCTCCCATGGTAGGACATCGAGTGAGGAATTAACCACTCAGGCCCTTACTTCTTTCAAGTGAATATCTCCAAGGTTCCTTCAGGATGGGATCCTCCAGGAAACCTCAACTCTGGCCTGTGGGAATTTAGAATCTATATAATATGGCCTGCTGAGAGGCTGGCTGGCATTAACTTGCACTTTTCTGGTGTGAAAAGAATGAAGAAGAAGGACCGAGAGAAGATGGAGGGGAGCCCCCCCCCCCACAAGCTTCCTATCAAGGGATCCTTGAAAACTATCCAACTTGCCCAAACAACATAGCTCCCCGAGGCCAGCACATGGGCTGAAGGTCTGAGCCCTCTCTCTCACAGCAAGAACACCATAAATCTCCCCATGGTCTACAACCCAGCACATGGGCTCTCTTAGTCCCCTCAAGACATCGATGAGATACACAAGGGTGGTCTTTGCCCACAGAGAGGCATATGAAGGACTTCTGCACAAAAATGCCTACTTGTTGCCCACACAAAGGAGGATTGCTCAGTCATGGGAGACCAATGTGCTGGATGGAAGCCAAGAACTTCAGAGGTACTTGAATGAGTGCTGGGAGACTCCCAAGAGCACAGAACCCCATAGGAGCAGCACTGGCCTGGGGGTGGCAAGAATGAAGGAGATGGACCAACAGAAGACACAGAGGAGCCCCCCTCCCCACTCAGCTTCCTCCCAAGGGGAGGAGCCTCAGCTTCCTCATCTAGGAAATGATAATACCATACCTCACAGGGCCGCTGTGAATAACTGACATGAAAATGCTTGTACAGTTCTGGCGTGCAATACTGATTAGATCCTTCCTGCTAGAACGTCCAGAGGGCTGGATTTTGCGATGACTTGACTGTGCTGTGACCAGGCTCAATGACACCTTTTCCGACTCTCCCCTGCCCTCCTCTGAGGTGGACCCCAGCATTCCCAATTCTTCCCCTTCAGTTCCTTCCAGGTCCTGTACCAATCCTGGCAGCAGGGACTCTGTTGGGCTGAGGCTTGTACCCTCAGCACAGAGACAGGGATAGGAGGCCTCAACAACTGCTTACTGGATGGACAGATGAACAGATGAGTAAACAGATGCTAATCAGACTGACAGGTGGGGTCTGTGGATAGGCTCTTTCCTGTCCCTGGCTCTGCCTGGTACATAGCCCAAGGAAACTCCTCCCAGATCTTCAGAGGAAGTTTCTGGTCCAGGAAAGCCAAGCATGTGACAACTAGAAACAATGTGGGCTCTTAAGTCCTGGGATCCTCTAGGCCAGGCTGTCTTGACCTCTCCCAGGTATAATACCTGTGCCCTCTTGCCCACTCTAGAACTCTTCTCCACTGTTCTGAAGCGAGGTTGCGTCCTGTGCTTGCACAGCATTGACTGTGAGTCAGAAGGGCACCTCAACTTCCAACATGTTGATCTTGCCTCAGAGCAAAATGGGGGTACATTTCCACCTGAGGCATAGGGACCTGGAGGGAGACCTTCCTTCCAGGGTTCCCCTTTTGAGGATAGGTGTGGCCATTGTGGGCAACAAGGGAGGGCAAAGTTCAGTGATCCCAGGCCCGCAGTTAATGTAAACCCTGAGCTTCAGCTGCAGGTTTCAACTCCCTCCCCTCAGCATAGGACGTGGAGGATTATCCTGGGCCTACTCTGGCTGTCCTGTAAGCCAAACCACCCTGTGAGATTAAAGGGAGGACAACTGCTGCATTCTACTGACAGGAGATGGAGGCTGCAGGACCTGACCAAAGCCTCGTGGTAGGCAGCGGAGGGAAGCTCAAGTGCAGGCCTAACTCCCAGTTTCCCTCTCCCCCACCCCCCCTCACGCTGTGCTTCTCAGAAAGGGCAGAGAACAAAAATGTGTATGGCCAGACACAAAACACCCACTAGCTGGACCTAGTTATTCGGCCCCTCTTCAAATGAGGAGTCAGTGAAGTGACATTGTTACAAAGATTAAATAAGGATTTAAAAAATACAAACCTTGGATAGATTTTTTTTTCCCAAGTGGTACTAATTCTCAAATTTTAATAGGAATTTATAGAATCATCTAAAGACTCTACAACTCAACCTATAAATATCCAGTTTGGGGTTAAAATGGCATCAGGAAATACCCCAGGGAAGGCTGGTAGCGTTAGTGATAGAGGCAGAAAGGCCTCCCAGATCCCAGCCTCTACCTCCACAGGCACCGTGCGGATTGAGGCCCAGGCCTCTGATGGCCAATACTTCTTTGAGGATAAACCTAAGCCTATTCACAACTCACTGACTGTGTTTCTGGCCTCACCTTCTGCCACGGTTCCTTTCCTCCCAGACCCTGTACATCCAGCTATCCTCCCAAACACCCACCTGCTGTCCCTGAGGGTATGCAGGCCCAGAGGGGTCTCTGGATCTTGCCTCACCTGACAAGCTCCCACTCCAGCTCTGAGACCCTCAGAGTGTCAGCTCACCAGCTGCCTTCCTGGTGGGGCTCAGCTTGGGGTTCACAGTGCACTCAGGTCCTTGTCCTGCCAGTGTGACATCCTGTCTTGCACCTGTATCCCCTACTGGGCTGTCAGAGAGAGACGGTCCTTCCATCTCTATGTTGCTGACATCTAGCACTGGTCAAGGGAGGCCTCTGTCTACTCCCCTGGAAGGGGAACGCGTATAGGTGGCTGGCCTGGAAGTATACAAGTACCTGTTCTGAATTGGCCGTGATGGGTCCAGTCACACTCAGAGCTGGGGCCTGCGGAGCAGAGTAAGGTGCAGGAGGAGGCGAGGAATAGGAGCTGGCACTCGTCCTCTGCTGCGACTGGGACCTGGGCATGGCTGAGGCTGGATCCACTTCAGGGACGCTCTGGCACGGCAACAACAAAGTCGTCTGTTCACTTGGGCTGCCAGTGTGGCTGGGCCTGGCATCTACCCCACCCGGGCAGCAATTCCCGCCAAAGCCACCTGCAGACGGGAGGGGGGCCCAGCTCTGCTGCTGACCTTCAAGGCTTGAGGCTCAAAGCAGCTCTCTGCCCCTCTGCACCTCACAGACAACCAAAGTGACTCAGAAAGGCAGCTCAAGAGTGCTGGCTGGGGTTTCCACTATTTGTATCACCTCAGGATCTGAGTGGAGGGGGACTGCTCTTAAGTTTTGCTGACAATGAGTACTTAGATACCAGATTACATTTTGGCCTTTACAGGGAAACTAATATAAATAGTCATTATGCAATTTACCAAATGTTCTTTGTAATTATAGGAACAACGACATTGTTCAGTGTCATTGTTAGAAGAAGAAAACAGGTTATGCTCATTCCACAAGGCACAGTGAGTGGCTGGGAAGGATTAAAATAAGAATGATGCTTTGAAAGAAAACCCTCGTGGGACTCTCAGGTCACCTTTATTTTCAACTGTGTTCCCACAAGAGATCTGCCCAGGCACACTGCCCATCTTGTCCCCATTCCAGTGATGGGCAGATGGGGCCTGTGAGGCAGAGTGTGCTACAGTGAGGTTCCTCTTCTAGACCCTGGAGTTTTCTGGCTCTCCCGGTCAGGGGCTGATGACCAGCCAGTAGAGGTACTAGCTTCCACCAGAGAGGATGAATGGTGTCACCTGCAAGCTTTTAATTGTGAAGCATGGGGCTGCCCTACATTACAGAGCTTCAGTGGGAGGCTTCTAAGTGGGCCTTTCCTGCGCTTTGAATCCCAACGCTGACAGAACTCAAGAACTGAACGCTGATACTCAAAATAAATTCCTGATCCATTTTTATACAGTTCAGAAAACGGAAAGCTGCTCTTTGCCCTGTGATAGTTGAGGCTGTCAGCCCCGCCACCTTGCCAGCAGTGAGGTCCTCGGGTGCTCTCAAAGGGCGACGACGCCTGCATCCCCACACCAGATTCCCTGGGGCCTCTGAAAAGCAGGTGTTAATGACCCTCCTAGGATGGCTCCACCCAAGCAGCCACTTCCATGAAAACGTCTGAACTGATCCCTCTATTATATTCTTCCCCAGTCAGTCTGAAAACTGGGGGAGACACTGCTGCCACTTAATCACCAGTCAACCAGCTGTCTCGCTCCTGTATTTCCCTTGTTATTAAAAAGAAATGCCCTCAAGCTTTAAGAAAGCGTGATGACAAGCTGAATAATTCAAATGGAGCAGCAGAAGGGTAGTGGCAATGGCTTGCCCATTCCGCAATAGGTCTTTCTAGAAAATGCCAGCTGGAAGCTTACCCGCTGTGGTGTGTGTATGGGAGACAGAGCGTCCAAGTCTGCCATGGGAAACTCGACCCCTTTCCTCTTCAGCTCCTCGTATATGTGCACAACACCGGTAAGGTCAGGGCTGCTCCGAAAGGCATCAGCCCACGCCTGGGGGGAGAAAGAAGGCTGTTAAGGAGGGCTGTCACGGTGCCTGAAACTCCAAAGCCACCCAGGGCCTCTGGCAGAGGCTAAGCTCTCTCCTCCACTGGAGAGCAAACCACGCTGCCAGACCTACTCCCTTCCTGTCCTCCTGCAGAGCTGCCACGGTGCAGCTGGCAAAATCTTGGTTTTCAATGGTGCTGTTGTGCGTGAACAAAAACACAAAACTTAATTCGGCATGTAGTATTTCCTTGGAGAAGAGACAGAGAAATAACACCTAAGCACCGTGGCGCATCCTAAAATGCAGGCATTTCCCTAAAGGCAAGGAAATCGATTCCTGGGGATGTTGAGCTGAAGGGCGTGAAGAGCCTGCCTCATCACTGCACACGGAGGCTCCGATGGGACAGGAGCACTGAGGCTCTGTCCACGGTCATCTTCACACCCTGCTCTGCACAGCACTCGTCAGAGAAGGCAGGAACCGTAGGCAAATTGAGCAGAAAGGGAAGGAGAAATTGATGTGTGATGGGAAATAATGGCTAACTCTAGCTTTCCTCAGTAGATCAGAGCATGCTACCGCTGAGAATGCCAGGCCTAGCCATCATCTGACAGGTGAGAAGGCTGAGGCGTGGGCGGGCAGGGGGTTGGGGGGAGAGACCCACGCTGCCCACAAGGTCAACATACATGCCCACATCAAAAAATCCACTTGATTCCCTTAAGAGAGGAAAGAAAAAGTATCTCAATATTCTATTACTTATCACTGGTTCATGAAGCCTTTATGATTTTTAGAAAACATATTCTGTTATATGGAAGTTAAAAGAATATATCAAAAAAGAAGTTTGGCCAGAGTGAGGCCCAGTTCCTTGGAGCTGTCCTGTCACCATACATGCCCAGAGGAGGAGGCAGCAGAGCGTCTTACAGCCACGGCTTTGTTGCCAATTCTGCTGTGTCACAAACTGTAACTGCCTCCCTGGCTCCAGCAATGTGTTCCAACCAATCCCGAGGCAGCGCAGAAACTCTATCTCTAACCAACAGACTCATCTGAAGTTAAAAGGTCAGTTTCTAAAAAGGCTTTTTTATCACAACTGATGCGGCTCGCTTACTACAAACACTGTCAGCCTGGCTTCCCTTGGTCACCTACTAGATTTGCATACTCGGGATTAAATGCCTGTATATCATTGTATATCAGGACAGCCTCTCTTGGCTAACACTCCCTTCGGCATTCTGAGGGGGTAGGAGGTGCCTGCAGAGGCCTGTCTGGAACTCTCCAGCTGGAGAGCAGCACAGGAGACCTGCTCCCCATCCTCACCTCAAGGAGTCCCCCAGAACCCTGTTCTCTACCAGCTGCTTGGGCTGCCACCGCTTGATTCAAAATTCAGCTGAGCCCTGTGACTTCAGCTTCAGAATGCCACAGCATTTTAATTTAGGATCTAAGCTTTAGAGTCTAAGACCAGTGTCACAGCCTACTGTGGGAGGCTGGGGAGAGAAAGGCATGGCAGTTCTTCCTGGCACTGTTTCCTGTCTCCATTTCTACAGGAGGACAAACAACTCTAGGGACTCCTTTGAAGTAAGAAGAGTGATGATCAAAGAATCATTACGGTTTCACATACAACCCAAATTGGGCCAATCAGATTTTCTTCCCAAAAGCTTAGCCCTGGACCTGGGGCTGGGGGGTGGGGGTGGG